GTTCGATAATTTGAGGGACCTATGATGTCAAAGTTATACATCCCTGAATATCAATGGACGTGTGTATCAGGCCATAGTTCGGGCTTTTTTGTGGCATAGCTATGAGACTTGGCCTTTTTGAGCATCGGAACTGGGGTGTCTTCAGGTGTTCGACAATCTTTGTCTCAGAACTCTAAATGCACTGTTTTGGTATCGGTGATTAGAAAGCGAGTGTTCGGTTGTGCAACGGTGACTTCCATTGAAGAACCTATCGAGCACCAAACGCTGCATGTGTTAGGACGTGTTATGCGTGCCAAGCCGTCGTTTGCCGAAAAGAGTACTGTTTTTGCGTCCGGTTCAGAGTGCTGGAAGCAGAGAGGTGATATGGCATAGGGGTGTGAAAGAGATAATAAAGTATGTCAGGTGTCGGTCGGTGCTACTCTAGGATGGGGACAAAGTTATCCCCACTGCGTCTGGTTGGAGGCGCTGCAAGATGTGGCTGCTCGTAGCAGTGACGTTAGATAATAAAGTATGTCAGGGTTCTGTCGGTGCTACTCTAGGATGGGGACAAAGTTATCCCCACTGCGTCTGGTTGGAGGCGCTGCAAGATGTGGCTGCTCGTAGATGTCAGTGACGTTCTTGCTGTCAGTTTTTATCCTGATTGCCTAAATGAGTTTCTGGAGGAGTAGACACCTAGAAATGCTTGTAGTAGGCTAGCACTAAGTCTCTTTCCTGTCCATCCTCATTCTTTTCTACACCATAGGGCCTTCAAATAAATCATGACTGTATGGCATCGAAGCGTCGATGTTGAAAACTAATGCCTTGCTCTGGATGATGATGTGATGTTGATTTCCATATTCCAGTCAATCTGTCACGTTTCCTAATGTCTCCGTAGCCGCCGTTCTCGCTCTTTCCTTGACATAAAGAACGTGATTCATCCATTTATTAGTTACCTTCTGTCGTTCGCATTTAGGCGCGTCACGTGTCCAAATGCATGCTTTCGATGGGCGACCTTCGGTGGCCATGTTGGGTGTACAGGAGGGATACTACTTCTCCATACCGCCTTGTGTGCTCCGAAGTAAACAGGTAGTTCCACCATACGTTGCGCATAGTCGTTCCCATTCATTACCCATTCATTATCACCTTGGTTCTTGCGAGATAATTTACTACTGCCTCAAATCACAATGTTGTTGTAATGTATTCTCAGCTCGGTATATTATCACTGTTTGTTGGGTCGCGCAGGGTAATGATTTCTCGCATCAGCTGAAAGATCGGATGAGATCTGAGCACTTCCAACCGGATTTTGAGCATCGGTTGTTTTCCCCATTTCACTGCGTTGTACTTTAGCAATCATTATCACCCTGCCGTTTTTTCACATATGACCCTCAGTTTTCCTGGTTGTACTGATTCTCCACCCACTTACTGTTACTGTCTTACCACTTAAGGAATATCTAATGAAATGAGTGTGTGAAATCCTGATGAATTTCACTTGCCAAAACAATTGTAGGAGGCAAAAATCAGACGAAGGTTATTCCCTTGAGAAAAACTTTTCTGTACGAGCGAAAGGTTTAATTAACCAATAGCTGCTTTGGTATGCGCTGGTCCTCTTTAATAGAACACACCTTCGGAGTTAGGTAGAAAAAAAACCTCTTCATGAAAGTGCACTGTTCTTAGTATCCTCTTGGGCATATCACCGTACTTATTCCAGGTCACGTTCCTCAGTTAAGTCTTACAAGTTTCTTGTATTTTCACACTGGATGCCTGGTAATTTACTCTAATTATCAACCCTACCTGCCTACCTTTTGTAGCAGGTCACGAGTTATTTTTGTCATTATTCCTATTCTCTTTATAGAGTGTAAGATATTTTTGCTCGCTTTGAAGAGAACAATTCAGATGCTGTTCGAAGGTTGTCTCCGGGAGATACGAAATACCCTTCTTCACAGTTTCTCCTGCCGCAACCTAAGTCGGTGTTTCGAATCACACGATGACAATTTGAGAGAGCCAGTTTTATTGCGCCAGCCGAGTCAGTAAAATAAGTGAAACTTTTTCACAAAACGCATCTGCACTTTATACGACTTCGTTGACTAGTTTAAAGGAAAAAGCTTTTGGAAGACTTGAAAATATGGTAACAAGGAGGACTTGGTGCAAAAGTCCGTACATCTCAGAGATATATACCAAGAACAAATTGCACACAACCTCCACCATCATTGAAATAAGAGAATTTGAGCATCGCGCCGAAACTAGGCGGTGTTGATTCAGCATCTTTACGGACATCCCCGGACCGGGGATGATAAAATGTTTGCAATCAAACTGCCCAGCTCAGCGAACAAACCAGTGACTATCTACGCTACCTGAACATCTCCCTCTCTGAAAAATAATACTTACTCCACTTCTCACTTTTTTTCGTACACAAGCTTTACTGCTTTGTGAATATGATGTTTCGGAAACTGAGTATCCTCAGTCCGTTTCCATAGAGCGGCAAGAAGACCCAAGTCACGAGATGTTAGCATTTCGTTTGCTTTCGCCAGTAGTGAATTCAGAACGCGCAATATTTATAATACAGGTGTGTAGCAACAAACAGGACGGAACGAGACATTGTTTATCTAGCGGGCACTTGAGGATGTAAGCCTACTTTCTAAACTGAGAGGAGTGGCTAATCAACACGTGTGTGTGAGGCTGTCCGAGTGGTTTTCATCAAAATCACATTGCTGCACGCCAGACGTTTCAGGTTCCGATTGCTCGTAATATCCTTCTAACATTTTAATCTGTTGTTTGTGAGAGACGTCGGTCTGTTTCGCTAATGCAAACATAGAAAATCTATATATGAGCTGTAGGTGAACTGGTAGATAAAATGAACCGCAAGGACTAGACACCTGCTAGGCTGTAAGGTAACCATTCTGGCGACTGACATGAACCTTCACTCTGCAGTCAAGTATGTTTAATTCGAGGTCAATTTAATCTTTTGGCTAATATTCTTTGTTATGTGGTCACTGACCATATAATTATGCCCATTTGTCTGTTTAACTCTGTTGCGCGGTGATGAACCGTTTTCTGCTCTTATTTCTGTCAGCGCACCATGTTCTTTTTACTAATGGCTCACAGTGCATATATTTCTGCTACTACTGAACAGTGTTCTTTCAAACCACATTTGCATGACGCCCAAAATACTCCACTCCATGTGGTCCTTGCGGTGGTGTCTGGTTAGAAGAACACCTGGTGCTGTTAAACATATACGGAATTCATCTTCGTGGAACACCGAAATCTCTGGTAGATGTGACTAGGGTGATCCAAATATAGACTGAGGTGTTGGTCAGAAGCACATGCCAATGATAGGTGTTGAAACGCATTTCGATATCTTGAGGAGTTGGAAACAGCTCATGCGCTTAGGGACCGTAGGTTCGGATAAGCTATGGAGCGACCGTTTGTAGACCAGTTGGTGTTTCGCTTTTTCTAAACTGTCCTCAAAAAGCCCTAAACGTGGTGCGCCAAACAATCGGTAGATTTTCCTATTTATGCGTAAACCTTTCTACGGTTCACGTGAAGTCTCCATATAAAATCGGGATAG